TACTTTTCCTAAGACAGTGTTGCCTCTGTCTTACCTACCTCTTCCCCGATTGCCTCGTGTACGCTTGTCGGTGAACTATACCCTATAGTTAAGTTCACGCAAGGGTGTGCCCCGTTACATTGCTGGTTAAGAGCCGCAGTTCCTTTAATGTAGCGCTTCATTCCGCTCATTCCGCCGCGTATCTTATGCGAAAATTCATCGCTCCCTCTTTATGTACATGTGTAGTGGCCGATCGGTTAACACCTAAGACGTGTGGCCAGTCGTTTCGGGCTTATTAGGAGATGCGAAACGCCTCGCTTAAATGAAGTCCGTATATGACGAAATGATCAAGCAAGACTGCCACCGACAAGAAAAAATGACGAACAGCATGACACGACTTTTCCTCGTGGTATGCTGTCAGTAGCTGTCTTTCTCAGAGAATAACATGGCGCTGACGGACGAGCCGCCAACGGCCGAATTTATTTGTTCGAGCAGTTCCTCCACCATAAATCAAGTGGACAAAGCGTCTATGTACTGGGTAAAAAACTGCCATCGTGCACTCCATGCTGGATGGGTCTGTGACCGTTAGGCAGACCAATAAATGCTAGCTAGTGTAACGGAACACCGGACGCTTGTAGTGACACACTACAAGCTACCTATAATGGCCATGTTGAAGGCAGGTTCCTCGCCTATACGTACATGTACGTGCATTGGAAGCTGATGGACTAATGAAATCACGATTTTCTAGAGTAAAAAGAGAACTGTAGTCCATGTATGTAACGGGGTACCGACGACTACGTACTGGTCAACCAGTACGGAGTTTGCTATCACTGGATGTAGTGATAGTCAGTTACCAGCTAGGTGTAGAACTACACAGAGGAAGGTAAAACGACTAAGGTGAAAGACTCTTGTCGTAGGAAAAGTAAAATTGTTATTAATTTAATTAAGTCCTATAACTCTTGTATCTCTGTTTGTCCTGACTTAATTATACTAATATAACTATTTGTATGATGACGTCTACCCACCACCCATTGCGCGCGTCAAGCAGCGATTAGTGGGTTGATATCATCACGATATCAACCAATGAGTAGACCCTTCGGTCATCTTCAACAATATTACCATGTCTTGTGATATTGTTAAAAGAATATTCTTCGTAATATTCCATATTGTCATCTTATCCTGAGTGACAATTCCATTTTAAGGGCTACCTCGTAACAATGTAGCTACAGCCCCCGAATATCAACACTTTCAGTCCTTTTGTGAACTATATTTAAATACAAGCGCAAAATGTGACTTTGGTTCGAAATATTGCCGGTTGCAATCACTCGTCATTTACCCTAAATTTCGTACCTATTATAACAACTGCCTATAAGTCACCCATTGTTCCCTCCCTTAATTAATAACGACTTTAGCGGTTGATACAAGGGCCTTTATCAAGCATTTGGCAAAAGTCATCGAAAAATAACCTTTGAAATAATATTCGAGAGGAGTACCACATCGATAACACTTGCACTGACTTTGGTATTTTCAATGTCATGGAACGGAATCTCCCCGTTACATTTCATTATTCATTCACTGGCTGCCGAAAGCACCCACAGCACCTCGACTTGAAATACTATGCGCCTCTATCCTTTCGTACTCCTCGCCTCGACGGCCGTTCCGACCCGCGTTACTGATGCCTCGGGGGTATCTGGTTACTCGCATACAAGCAACAACTCCACGGCCACGCATCCTCCGTTCACTGATGACTCCAACGACGGCCCTGCCAATCAGCAGCTTGTGGCACATGGCATTACGAACGATGAAGAGAGGGCACCACCAGTGAAACCATCACATGACGGCTTGCGAAAGCTTACAAGTGGTATACAAAAAACGACAATGTTCAAGCTGTACGGCGGCATCAGCGGGCCAAAGCTCACTTCAAGCGGTTGGGATCAAGTGTTAAGCAGAGATGGAAATCTATTACGTATGGTGGGCACGCGTACAGGAAATGGAGCTAACCTAGATGTGGACATGCAGGAATTTGTGCAATTCGCCACATCACACCTAAGAAATGTGTTGTCGACGAATGCGAATGGATTTAAGAAAAGATTCTCATCGCAGGACATGTCAACAGAAGGACTCGCTGCAGAGTTAAAAAAACGCCGTTTCTTTAAGGTTTTTGGCTTTGAAAAGGTGCGTATGTTGCAAGAATTTCTCGGTTCATCGGAGAAGGCAACGAAAAAGTTCTTTGACACGCTATCGATAGGCTTTGGCAGTGAGCTCGAATTCGCGCGATTTCTGTCGATCGAAAAGCAAAGCCTTGTAAATGAGCATGGGGCCGAGAAGCTTCAGAAAGAGCTGCTGACATTCTGGAAAAAGACCAAGTCCGAAGAGGAAGTGCTGAAGCTTATCGATCTGGTGAAGCAAGGCTGGACATACGAAACTCTGGATACTTTGGTTCAGTTCGTTGCGCTTGGTGGTTCCCCAGAACCGAAAGAGGTCTACGTGAGAACGATTAAGCTCATAACGACGACGATTAAAAACGATGATGACATCGTACAGGCAATCGTCAACGGGGAGAAGAAGGAAGCTCAATCTGTCACGTGGCACACCGGTGCTGCGTATCAGGACGCCAAGATTGCGTCGGAAGAGGTTGGGCACACTGATCTTGCTGATGATCTAAAGACGGAGCTACTTCGACAATGGGAGGCAGAAGGGAAAGACCTTAAGGTTTTGTGCTGGAAGGCCTTTAAAAGTCTGAAAAGGGAATTAACACAGGATTCACAGTTCTTGTCGGGCCTTCAGGCGTAGATTTCGGGTACCTAAGTATCGGTCCTCGAGCAATAAGTCAACAATACACATCATTTTTCACCAGGTCGTACCGTCGAAGTTAAGAACGCCCGGTGTCTAGAGCATGGATTCGTAAGGGTAAACGTGTATCGGACATCACGTGATGTTACTTCAGATGCATGTGTTTATCTACCTATAGCAACAGCAGGTAGACTTATTGAAAATTTTAATGACGCGCTGTACGCACACCTAACGATCGCCGCATGATATGCTCATCCACCGTCAGCGGTTCGCAACCTAAGCTATTTGGCTATTTTTCCATGTCTGTGTCGATCATACAGATTCGCTAGAGAGGCTTCACCTTCGACAAAGTCGGCATGGCTCTTTGATAAGCTCGATCTAATATAAATTCGACCGCGTGCCACCCCACATGTAACGGGGCACACCCTTGCGTAACTTAACGCAAGGGATTTGGGTGCCCCGACGGACGTACACGTGGCGAGCGAGGAAGCGTAGGTAGGGTAAAAGTAGAACTGTTATATTAATAAATTAAGTCTTTAAACTACTGTCTCTTCGTTTGACTTAATTCAATTATACTAATATAACTGCATGTATGGTAACGTCTCGTCACCACTCATTGCGCGCGTCTTGCGGCGATTGGTGGGTTGATATCATCACGATATCAACCAATGAACAGACCCTTTGGTCGACCCTTCAATATCACCACTTTGGTGATATTGTTTAAAGAATTTCCATCTTATATTCTTTATTGTCACTTTCCTTAAGTGACAATATCATGTAACGGGCTGCCCCGTTACACCACACGTATGCCCTCTGTTCAACGATATATTAGAGACTCCTTGATGACGTCACTTTATCACAGCATTTAATTAGAAATCGGTAGATACCTATTTTTCACGATAATGAGCATCTGCATTTCAAAGTTCCAGGTCAGTTCTGATGTATAAATCGATGGCGAAAGCTTGCTATGTCCGTTCACTTTATGCCCAAAGTTACAGTTGTCTTATTACCTAGTCATCTCATAGCATTGTAAGAACGATTTCACACTCAAATGTCGAACGCAAAGGGAAAGATTGGTCTTTGTTTGAAGCTTGGCAAAGATGTTGTGGACGAAGCTACGGCGGCGTCGAATCAGCGACTGCAAGAAATGCAAACGTACATAAAGAATTGAAAACGCACATTAAGAAACGAAAGGTGAGCATCTGCTTGATATTGCATGCTCGCACACTGTGACGAAGTGGTCACTTTGGTTGCGTTGTTTCCATCTAGATCAATGCAAGGTCAGGGTTCACGCCAATCAAGAAGGATGACCGGCCGTTTCCGTCGTTTCAGTCCACCAACTCTCCAGCTATGGCGTCGGACGCTGCGACCGATTCGCCCGTCTCCATCGGCTCGCCAAGTCCCAGCGAGCCTGGCCGCAAGCGACAGAGAACGAGTGATGACAGTACAAGTGGCTTCGATCATGTCACGCGTTCAGCGGCGACCTGCGCCATGCCATTTCCACGCAACGCTTCAGTCAGCACCAAGACAAGCCAATCTGCAGCCGGCATCCCGACGTCGCCCAGCAACCAAGACGCTTTGGACACTAGCAAAACGTCCGTCGTCGCCTGTGTCGATGCAAGGGGGACAAGCGTGACATCTGGCTTTACTGACGCCAAGTCCGTCGTCACTCCTTCCAAGCTCAAGAAAGCTGGAGTGTCTGGAATGCACAACAAGAAGTCGTCTGGTGTTGCCGTGACAAACCGAAGCATGAAGGTGCCAAGTGCTGGCGCAACGTATCGCAAGACTACGACAGCGTCATCGATAGCCGCTCCGAAACGGTACCGCGCCAAGTCGCTTCGGGGAGATCCGTCTTCACATGGTCGCTAAGGGGTCATTGGATACGTCTCCGCTCTCGTCGTTCGTGTGAGTGGCATGAGCGCTACTGTGATTGGTCGAAATCCGTGATCAACGCAACAGACGGTCTTGGTCTTGGAATCCGCAATGGCGAGCAAAGAGACGGGGAAGGACTCGGACAAAGTCGAGGCACGAGACGCCGCGTCGGAGCTACCGCGAGGCAATCGACGCTATGCGACGGCGTTTCTATGTCTCTGTGTCTCGACCATCTGCTACGCTGAGCGTACGTTGCGTGTGACGTGGGATCACCTGTTGAAACGAGACTTAAGAGCTAACTGTGGCTCTGCTATCCGACACAGGGACCAACATGGGCATAGCGTTGCCGGCGCTCGTGATCGATAAGAAGGAGCAGGGCGAAGTGCTGTCGGCGTTTTTCTATAGCTACATGTGCACTCAAGTAATGCTGTCCATCGACTCGGTTATGCACAAGCGGACTGTCTTCTCATGTGTGTTAACTCGTGTGCCTGTAGATCCTCGGGGGGTATTTAGCTGCTAGATCTGGCGCGAAGATTGTGTTGCTCACTGTTGTCGTCTGGACGCTGTTCGTACGTACCTATGAACGCATGTGCGCTGGACATCTGAGGCGAAGTATCGTGCCAGTCTGACGTTGCTTGCTTGTTTTATTGCAGGATCTGTCGACAGTGGTCGTGGCAAAGTGCCTCACGTGTCTGTTGTTCACGAGAGCAGGTATGGACGTTGGAGAAGGCATCTTGTTCCCTTGCATGCACCAGATCGCGAGCACATGGTACCCGGTACAGGAAAGGAGTCGTCTCGTGACGCTAGTTGCAAGTGGCTCCGATCTGGGCACCATCTCTGCACTGATCATATCGCCTGCGATAATGGCAGCCAGTGGCTGGCAACGCATTTTCGTTGTGTTTGGCGCTTCCAGCTTCGTCTGGGTTGTGGCATATGTGTTTAGAGGAAGCTAGTCGGCCAGAAGATGACCCACGTATCACCGTGAAGAAACAAACGTTCATTTTGCGCAACCGCATTGCAAATCCAAGCACCACCTGTCAACATCGCGCCGAGCTGGACGTTCATCGAGTTGGACATTCGCTGAGCTTAACATCCATACGTTAAACACGTTAAACTGGCGTGTGTTGCTAACGTCACGACCTGCGTGGGCGATCTATGTCGCGCACATGTGCTACAATTATGGTTGGTAGTTCCTGCTGGGCTGGATCACGCAGTATGTTCGCCAAGGCCTGAACTTCGATCTGAGCCAAGAAGGGCGGGCTCGCTGCGGTGTTGCCCTACATGTGCGGCTACATCGGGACTCTGCTGTTTGGACGGCTAGGAGACTCGTTAGGCACTCGCGGCCATCGTGCACTGCATGTGCGCCAAGTCATGAATGCGTTTTCGTTCCTCGGATGCGCTTACTTTCTCGTCCTGCTGCGTTTCGCGAACTCAGCCCCCGCTGCAGTTGCCGTGCTGTGTATGACACCGTTCACAGGTCGCGCCGCTATGGCTGGATGCTGGGTCAACATGATCGATGTGGCGCCAAACCACGCTGCGCACATTATGGGCGTCTCCAACACCTTTGGAACCATTCCTGGGATCATTGGCAGTATGATCACAGGCGCAATTCTGCATGCTACGGGATCGTGGGACCTCGTGTTTGCAGGGGCTGCGCTTGTTCTCGTGTTCGGCGCGACGTTTTTCCATTACTGCGCATCGGATGAATCGATTTACACACAGCCGAGCTATCGAGAAGGGTACAACAGAAGCAGCGCAACTTCAAACAGCTTTCCTGGTAGCCTCGATTGCAGCCCGTTTCGTTCGTCGATCCCTGACGAAGAGGAGAGCTTGCCCGAAAACCAAATATGAGCAACAGCACGACGTAGTGAAGAGCGAACATGAGCCGAAGCACCTTGCGACATAATGCGTCACGTCTCGCGTTGGCGCAATCTGTATCGACCCAATGCGATCTTCTGCAGCTGATGATGTGGTATCTCGTCACGTGGGCGTCTCTTCTGCATCTATACGAATAGGTTAGTGGCCACTGCCCAATTCTCGCGCTGTTCCTCGGCATAAATGCGTTGTATGGAACTTTCGGTGTCGGGACAATGCGGTAAGCTGCGGTGTCTTGCATCGTAGCGAATATTGGAGATCAAGCTGGTACTCCTCTGCATGATTGCACATTTGCATGACACGATTGAACACAGCGACGCTAGGAGCCACACCGAACAGCGCCTGCCACTCGGAAAGCACACGAACAGCTCGCCGCCACTCGCCCATACCATGAAATCTCCGACCTCCGACACGCTCCGACCGAAACAAAGCCAGTACGTAATTGTTCAATAGGGTTCAATTTTGTGTGCAATTTGTGCTAAGAATTATAAGTGGACAGGTGAGCTTAAATATGATAGATAGAGGCAAACTGATTGTCAATGTTTGCGTGCTCGAAAGCAGGATTATACGTGCTGATCTGCTTGGGAGCGGCTAAATACACCTAGCATGATTGCTAAATACACCGCCGCCTATCCATTAGACAAAATGTTTATATTGCAACCGTTGTTTCACAATCGGGCCACGTCACTTCGAATATCACAGGAAATGCTAAGTAGAAAGGCACCTGTTACATAGCCACGTCAATTCAAAAAGAAAATCTTCGTTGTCTAACGCATGATGATGAGCCCTTCACCCACATCCACTACTTCTGCTGCCACTGCTACGGTCGTTGATGTTGATACTAACTCTGTAGTCGCTGACAATCATGTTAGGTTCCAAGTTGATGCTGGCCCTAATCCTGCCGCCGCTGATTTCTCATGGATCTGTGTAGAATCTCCACCGGTCTGGTTTTTGACAGCCGAAAGACGGCTATAGAGGCTTAAAAGCAGGACGCCGTACGCTAAGGCTTTGCTATTAGTGTATCCCGCGGCTGTTCGATTGGTCCCAAGCGCAGTTTTCTCACATGTTGGCAGAAAGAACATTATACGAATCCCACAGATCGGCACATTTTAATGCGAGATCGCGGAGCAAAAAAGGTCGGCTGTTCATACGAGCTCGTGATCATGTATGACAAGCACGCCCCCGAAGAAATTGCCTGGTCAACGGTTTTAGTTGACAACTGATACACCGGCTACTCTCGTTGTATCAGAAATTGCCTGGTCAACGTTTTAGTTGACAACTGATACACCGGCTACTCTCGTTATCAGCACGACCACCGACGGCGCGACGTTCGACGCGAAAAATTGACAATATCAATTCTGAGGCCGTCCAGATACATCAGGATGGAGCTGCTCCAAGGGTAGTGTGCGTGTCGAAGTCATATACAGCAGGCCATTATCTGTTTTTTTATCTGTATGTGATTATTATACTTTAATGTCATTCAGTTTAAGGAAATGGGTGTCCTTATAAATGACAAGGATGTCCACAATATCGTTTAGGAAGCAAACAGGAAGGAACTTGGTGGAAAATTACACACGGAAGCTTTGCTGCGGCACATGAAGGACCAGCGTATTTTATCAACGGTTGCAGTGTTAAGCCGCGTGTGCCTTTTAGATTACCTTATTCTGCAATTTAATGAAACAGCGTGGCCTGGCTCCGTTACAGGTGAATTTCTGATCAGCTTATACTGCAATATTCGAAGTGACGTGGCCTGAATGTGATACAACTGCTGCCATTTAAACATATCGTTTATTGGAGGCAAACTGATTGTCCATGTGTGCGTGCTCGAAAATCTAGGTATTATACGTGCTGATCTGCTTCACTTCATCGTAAGTTGTGCCAACGCGTCAATCCTACCACGACATGTGGACTGTGGACGAGTTGTACATGATGTTGCTTTAGTGTATACGCACGTGCACCCGTGTCCATGTATATCCATACGCGCGTACTTGACTGCGAATTAATCGTTATGTTGTATTCAATGACAGGTAAGCAGCTGCATGTTGGACTACACGCCGCCCATGTGCTATCCGGACAACCCGTTTTCTCTTGCGTAAATGGTGTACAGCGTGATTGCTGTGTTCGACAAAACGCTGGGCATCAGTGATGGTATTACGTGACACATGAAGATAAGCTGCTAGCTGCTCGGGTCCGTGTGTCAGGTGCCCATCGGTCTCGACATTGTCGACATTCCGCCCAGCAAGCAGTGGATGGAGTATACTAAGATTGATCGGTCATCGACGATGAGAATGTGTGTTCTGTACGTATGACGAGTTAATAGTTGATGAAGCTTTTTCAGTGGATGATTTGACTGCAGTGGATGTAGTGCCGTAGATGGATGAATGGGTGGGTGGCAGGTTGCTCACCATGTTCGATGTTCATTTTGTGGCTGCGTGATCAGGATGGGCTTCAACCTGTACGTCGAGTGCGATCCAACTACCCACGTCAAGTACTCGCATACTTCCGGGCTAAAGAAGATCATATCGGAGTACGCGAAGGTGGGCTATTCTCGTCCGATCATGTGTAGAGAGTTTTTTGCGACAAGGGCGTGAAAAATAGTGACTGCTACGGGAACCAGCGCATGTTCTAAAATGTAAGGAGCGAGAGAGGGAGAGTGTAAAATGTTGGAAAGATAACAAATGTGACAACGATCCTGTTTCGTGCGAGTAGGCCAAGTGAATGAACAAGGAGAAGGGGTGACCTACGAGATCGTGGGTGGCAACGTGTTTGGGTAGACTACAGAAGTCGCCAACTTCGTTGAAACCAAGAGTGAGCTTTCAAGTGGTGAATATGCATGTGGTCGGTCAGAAGATCGGCTCTAAATATAGATAATTGATGCGTGTTTGTAGCTCTGACCACGACTGGCGTCTCAAGCAAGAACGTTGTCGGATACTTCCAGTCGCACTACAGCGACAAGAAAAGGACCATGTGCGAGTTCAATCAGTACATGATGTATGATGACCGGAAGAAAGTGTACACGACGACGGAGAGTTCGACCTTCTATCACGAAAATTACACGCCGTCACGTGATACGCATATGTCATGCCCAAGAACATTTAGAGCAAGCTGACCTCGACGCTTAAGGGTGAAATGGATTATTGTACTATCCTGTATATATGCTGTATCATGAGACTCAGGACGAGATAACGCGTCTCGTCGATCTTGTTCATATGTACTTGTTGTATTTCTCATTCTTTAGCGCGGTATTACTCAGCCGGTATACTATGGCGTGAAGACCAACATCTATGGGTACTGCGGAATGATAATTAATCCGATGGTGTTTGTAATATGCGCAGGTGCTGGATCTACAATGCGCCCGGCGGCTTGAAGTTGTCTGTATCGTTCGAAATTTTAAATAATAACCAGCTTTGTGCAGCTTGCGAATGGACTTGAGGACGTTTTGTGCTCCGCGGGCTTTGATGTTGTGCTCGCCAAGATACGAAAGTAACTGTATTTCGGCTATATCGCCAAAGTCCAACACATCGTCTCAATACTGCGGAGATTTCTCATCGAGCACGAAGTCGTTATAAAAAACAGCTTCATGAATGCAGCGACAAGTTTGGCGGTGGATTTCGTGTGCTTGCTCGAGCTATCAAACGAATCCCAGAGGTGGGGTTTCTGGGTATACCAGGAGAACCAGACGTCCTTCAGGTTCTTTGAAGAACTCGTTCGGCAAACTTTGGCTGATGGTTCTTCGCTTATATCTTCACTTCTTTCATGTGTAGTTTTTGGGTGTGCTTTGTCGTATAACTCAGCTTCAATCATCGAGACGCGAGATTCGAGCTTTTGGTTGACCAAGATTAAATGTTTAATTAATGAAGCTTGACGAAGATATATTGGATGCTTTGTGATGTCATTAGTGCTGTCTATAGCCTTGATGGGATTTGGTTGCATATTCGTTTTCGTTTAGCAGGTTATATGTAAAGACCAAGCTAGAAGATCGCTGACGGATTAAATTTGCTGGATTACACACGCTTACAAACGTGTGACAACAAGTCCGTCTTTCTTGAGTTGCTTCAACGATGAATAATGAATCAACGGGTAAGTGATAAGCGTTTCAATCACTCTTTCGTGTACGTTGTATTGTGTATCCATAAGTCTTTGAGATGTATTAAAGAGCGCTGTCGCAACAGATTGTATCTTTGTCTGTGTACCGGAGTCGAAGACATCAAGTGATAGGAGAGATACGTCGGTATCGAGGTGTCACCCACTCAAGACCCGGTCAACCTTATGATCTTCGGAAGATGTATTAAACCGTACGCAAAGGTCTTATTCGTCGCTGTCATATTCCAGGCGCCTCGACCGAAGATCCACTGTACACACAATCTAGCCCCATTTGCATGATGCGCCCCTACACGCCAAAAGAGTGAGATGCCAAGCGCTCGGATACGCCAGAGTTTGCAGCGACCCGATTAAGAACACGGTTGACGTAGCTGTGCACACCAGGAGCGTTATCTGGGCTGTTCTCCTTCTTAGCAGCGGTGAACAATATATCCGGTGAAGACACCACAACCTCTGGGTGATCGAGCAAATTGATGAGCGGAGTTGATGGAGCTAATATGGACTGTGAAATAGCCATCTGCTCAGGAAGTTGACTAAACGCGAAAATAGTTGGCGGTGAGTGGGTTACGAGGGAGAGAGCTATGGCAAGCAGAAGACATGTGGTGAAGTCTTCGTCAGTGAAAAGTGATAGACCTTGCTCTTCAAAAGTTTTGATTCGGATGGATCGGACTAAGTATATGTCGCCCAAGCCGATATACAGGTTAGCCATTGTGAGGTCCGATGCACGCCCAAATAGGTACCAAAGCAGACACAACAGTGCCGCATCTCGGTAGTCAGCACTAGTAACCGCAGTTGAATACAAGTATTCCATCATTTTTTTGGCTGCATACTTTGTGCATGCTGGGACCTTGTTCACAAAAGACTCTGACTCCCGC